TGATACCTAAGTGCCCTTGATGCCAGTCCTCAGCCATTTGTAAGAAGAAAGATACCAGAGATACATTGTATCCCATCTGGCTGCAGGACACGGGGCCGGCTCCCAGAGACAACAGATCCCAAGTAGTTGATGCTCCCAGGTGGTTGGTGCTCCCAGGTGGTTGGTGCTCCCAGGTGGTTGGTGCTCCCAGGTAGTTGGTGCTTTCAGGTAGTTGATGCCCCCAGGTAGTTGATGGCCCCAGGTAGTTGATGCCCCCGGGTAGTTGATGCTCCCAGGTAGATGAAGATCCCAGATAGTTGATGCCCCCAGGTGATTGGTGCCCTCAGGTAGTTGGTGCTCCCAGGTGGTTGGTGCTCCCAGGTGGTTGGTGCTCCCAGGTAGTTGGTGCTTTCAGGTAGTTGATGCCCCCAGGTAGTTGGTGCCCCCAGGTAGTTGATTCTCCCAGGTAGTTGATGCTCCCAGGTAGTTGATACTCCCAGGTAGTTGGTGCTCCCAGGTAGTTGGTGCTCCCAGGTAGTTGGTGCCCCCCAGGTGGTTGGTGCTCCCAGGTAGTTGGTGCCCCCAGGTAGTTGGCGCTCCCAGGTAATTGCTGCTCCCAGGTAGTTGGTGCCCCCAGGTAGTTGATGCTCCCAGGTAGTTGGCGCAGTTAAAGCCCTCCAAATCATTTGACAATCCTCGCCTGCCAATTCCGCTCCAGATAGCAGGCCTGAGTTGTTGTGAAAATCAAATGACCTCAGAAAAAACAAATAACGGTGAACGAATACCATTTATGAGAATGGAAAACACATGTTCTATTCGGGCGTATCATGCCTGGAAATCTCAATGTATCATACAGAAAGTAGTGATTGCACCTCCGGGCCGAGATCTGAGCTCTGTGTAGGGGTGGAAATGTAAAAAAAAAGTACTTGTCCACGGACTAAAGTGGGGGACCCAATCTACCTCTCCTTCATGATAATCTACTTGTTATGATACAAGTCATGATTGGTCAGCGTGGTCAGGTGACTGCTCTGATCAACGAGTGCTCCCAATTTGTGAGTGAAATTCAAAATCCATAGCACAGGGCTGTGCTGGACGGCAGTACGGGGTATAGATAGTACACCCATACAGGCGGAGGGGACAGTCTGTTCACTGAAAGGTAAGTATAGAGGAGGGGAAGAGGGGGCCAGATTTGAGCATGTAATTCCATTTTCCAAAATTGCTTGGAAAAGTGAACTTTCCCTTCTAATGCGCAGTGTGTGTGTTAGGGAGCGCTGCTACAATAATATGGCACACAGTGGAATGAGGGAGCGCACACACATACAATGCCCTACAGATAGCGGGGGCTGCGAGGTTGGTTTAAAAATCTTTTTTGTATTTTATTATTTTTTACTTTTTTTATTTTTTTCACTTAACTTTATTGCTTGCACACAGGGGATAAGAATCCCGTGTGATGGTGTTTGGAGGTGACAGGTTCTCTTTATGGAGCCCGCCCTCCAATGCAGAATATAGAGCACAGCATTATGCTCGATCTCGGGAAATGCTGTGAGTACGGTGCTCACTGATCACATAGAGCAGATAGACATTCTCTGGTCTGCTGCCCCTCCTGAAGTCATTTGCCCTGCTCCAGGGTCCCACCCCCCACAAAAAAAGGGGACCCCATAAACCGCAGCAGGAAGGAGGGGGGGGGACACAAGCAGGCTGCTACAAGAGATCTGGGCACAGCTAGGACACGGACCCCTACAGCCGGTTCCCAGCAGTGAGGAGAGCCCGCTCGCCGCTGCTGCATCTAGTCTCGGTCCCCCCTTCTTCTCCTCACTGGGAGCCTGGTGCATGCTGCGATCTGAGTCCCTTCTGATCCCCGCTGCTCTTCCCTGCCTGTTTCAGCAGAGGGGACCAGTGGGGAGGAGAGACCGCTGTCAGCCTGTGAATCTGTATTCCTCAACCCCCACCGTCCCCCGGTGACCCCCATGCCCACTCTTCCGCTGGATAGGGGAAAGCTGGCGACAAGCCTCCAATCCAGAGTCTGGGAGCAATAGCCAGCTTTCTTCTCTGCTGATTGACAGCAGACAAAGGGCGGGGACAATAGCCAGCCTATTGGTTATTGCAATTTGCAATAACCAATACCATCTTGTCTTGAATTGTATTGTGATTGTAATATCTTCCTTATATTGTAAAGCGCTGCGCAAACTGTTGGCGTTATATAAATCCTGTATAACAATAATAATACTGATGTTATAACAGGAGAGGTTCTGTGTTTCTGTAACTTTAAGGAGGTGGGGCGTCCTCCTGACAGGCCTGCACCCAATTTGATATCTTCTGCCCCCATGTGCTCCAAGATGGAGACTCTCATAGTTTAGAGTTAGGACCGCACTATAAGAGGTGCCTTGGCGCGGCAGTGCGGCTTACACATCCTTTGCAGAAGACGTGTATCCAAACCTCTGTCATTGTCCTTAGTGGTGAGACAAGTTGTTTTACATGCTGGTTTGTGAGTGTGCCATGATGCCTTTCTGCTGTTATTACAGGAGAGGAGACGCTGGGACTTTACATCTCCTTTAAATAAATAATGACATAGATAAAAAGTGCTGATAAAGTTTTGTTTTATTAGTTCCAATTTAAATGTCGGCGATTGTAGAGATCTGAGACGACTCGTCTGCTCGGTGGGCCGTCCCAGAACAGACCCGGGTCTCATGTACAAAGTCTCCGGAGCCGCGGATTACTCTGGAAGTGGAATGTCTGGCGCTAATCAGAAAATATGATGGGGGGGTAACACCGACACAGGATGGTGGAGGGTGTAGTAGTGAAGGTGTAGGATGGTAGCGGATGTAGTCCAGGGGTAGGCAAACTCCGCCCCTCTAGCTGGTGCAACTACAAATCCCAAAAAGCATTGCAGGACAGCCACAGGCATGACTCCCAGAAGCATGGTGAGATTTGTACTTTCAACACAGCTGGGGGGCTACACCTGATGTAGTGGGATGATGGAGCGTGTAGTAGTAAATGGTGTAGGATGTAGTAGGATGGTGATGGGTAGAGTAGTGATGGGGGATTGAGAGGATGGGGTGTGTGGTAGTAGTTTAGTAAGACAGCGAAAGATTAGTACTGATGACACAGGTTGATGGGGGGTGTAGTAGTAATGTATTAGGACAGTGGAAGTAGTGACACAGGATGATGGGGGGGGGGGAGTAGTGATGGTGCTGCTGCACGATTGTGTGGTGATGGAGTGCAGAATGTGATGACAGGAGGTCGCAGGGACAGCGTAGGTCAGGTGAACTGGCTCAGGAGCACCTCGTCCTCCACCCGGTCACCCGAGAACGCGCACACACCTTCCCCAGCACGCAGGTCTCGCGAGCGGCGTCAGAGAGCGGGTGGGCGTGGCCCGATCCTGGGGAGGGGGCGTGACGCACGGACGTTGGCCCACGTGACGGCGAGCGCCCAATGGCAGCAGGTGCGGCCGGAGGTGAGGCGCTGCGGCAGCAGCCTGGGAAGAGTGAGCGAAAGCAGAATAAGAACAAGAAGGAGAAAGTAAGTGTTGTGAGGGGCAGGGACACAACTTCTGCCGCTGTTCCGGGCCTAACCCGCCCCGCGAAGGGGGAGGGAAACTTACCAGAGACTGACACCACAGCCGGGCACTTCCGGCTACTGCTGACAGTGATCGCAACTTCCTGCTGACTGAAGAGGGGACACTGATCTGTAGTCACCTGACCTAGCTGCTGCACACTCTTCTGTCTTACCCGATGCACACTCTTCTGTCTTACCCGCTGCACACTCTTCTGTCTTACCCGCTGCACAATCTTCTGTCTTACCCGCTGCACACTCTTCTGTCTTACACGCTGCACACTCTTCTGTCCTGCCTAGTGGATAGGACTGCCCTACCCACTGCACCCTGTCCTCCTCACTTACCCACTGCACGGTATGTAGGACTGTCTCACCTACTGCACCCTGTCCTCCTGTCCTGACCACTGCACACACTTCTGCCCTGCTTAGTGGATAGGACTGTCTTACCCACTGCACCGTGTCTTGCTCACTGCACTCTTGTCTCCTGCCCGCTGCACCCGTGCCCTGGTGTCCTGCCCGCTGCACCCGTGCCCTGGTGTCCTGCCCGCTGCGCCTGTGCCCTGGTGTCCTGCCTGCTGTGTCCTGGTGCCCTGCCCGCTCCGCCCACGCCGCGGTTTCCAGCCCGCTGCGCCCGCGCCCTAGTTTCCTGCCCGCTGTGCCCGTGTCCTGGTGACCTACCCGCTGCCCTGGTGACCTGCGCTGTATGCCCCCATAGCGCCCATATACTGTACAATACCTGAGCCCAGTGCACATTGTATGTGATGCAGACGGTTCAGATGCCGCACTGCATGCTCTATAAAAGTAAACACTGAGGGGAATGTACTGAGACTGGAGCAGCTGTGCGTGCCAACCAATCAGCTTCTATCTTCCATTTCTAAAGCTTAGCTGATCAAGCTGAAGTTAGAAACTGATTGGTTGCCATGCACCGCTGCTCCAGATTTAGTAACCCCCCCATTGTGCTCACTTTTTGCAGAGGTGTAATTCTCTGTGTGTGTTTCTCACTTCGCACTTTTACCACGTGACGTATCGCATGTTCTGCGCTGCTTCGTCCCTCTGCAGCCCCGACCCACTGCAAAGCGTACAGCCGGCCTGTTGCCTCCGGCATAAACATGTCTATCGATCTGCTGCTCCATCCTGCGTCATGTGCACCTCCTCCAGCCACAGTCTATTTCTGTTCACATATTAATGTATGTATGATCCTATATTGTACACGGGTCATATCACCTGCAGCCATGTATGCTTAATCACATGATACGCTGTGAACGCAGGCCTCACCTCACATGCTCCTTATACACACTGCCTGTTCCTGCTGTGCAACTTGTTCCATCACTGTGATCCCTGACGCTATACAGGACTCTACAAATGAATCGATGATCTCATCTATGAGCTATAGCAGGAGGTAGGCAACCTCAGCACTCCAACTGTGGTGCAACTACAAGTCCCATGGGGACATTGCATGACTCTGGCAGCCACAGGCATGCCTTCCAGATGCATGGTGGGAGTTGTAGTTTCACCACAGCTGGAGTGCCGAGGTTGCCTACCCCCGAGCCATCCAATCTTCCCTCAGCACTCAGCCTTGTGTAGAGATTTACAGCATATGTTACTGTGAGCCGTATATTTCACCATAACTGAT